TATATATTTTATTTTATGCTATTCACATGCATTTGGGGCCTTTTTACAATTGTTTTGACTAAGAAATGTGATAATGTGTCTTATATGGTTCAAAGTGTTGGGGAAAAAAATCATGTTTTCATTCATAGTGGGGGTATATTGGAGTTGTATAGAGAAAAAAGTAACTTTTTCTCCCATCAGTTTTGATTATGAATCTATAAATTGTATTAGCAGGGTTTGTGAAACATATGTTACTATCATGTTGCGGTTTGTATGGTGGCCTCTGGCCACGACTGGTTTCTCATATGTGAACAAAGCCATGACAGAAGGATCAGTAACATCCTGCAGTAAGAAACCTTAACCTAGGTAATGAAAGCCTTGTGCCAGTGGGACAGACATACAATAGGCCTCTTATCTCCAGAGTAAACACTCCTCCTGCATTCGCAACAGTCATAAACTTGTAAATGATTTGCTACAGCACGTCCTGGTGCTTCTGAGCTGGTGTCCTTTTTAAATTGGAAACCCAGACGATGGTGTATGAAAATATATTTGCATATCTTCCCGTGGGTCTCTCGTGCCGTCTTACATTTACACGTCGCGGCAATGAGTTTGCACCACGGCCGACGAGTCTTTGTTTGCACACGTCACTTCTCTTGTGCTGTGGGATTCCAGGTGACCTCTCTACCACCGTCTGTCTGCAAAACCAGCTTTCTAATATGTCTTTTGAACAAGGGAGCTTACTTTTAAGAAAACATTAAAGGTGGTGTGCTCTACAATTCAGCTGTTAAGTTTTGTTATTCATAAGGGACATTGTGCTTTCTGGGTTAAACAATAAAAAGACTAGATATAGATACATTTAAAAGAGTGATGACTCTTGTCAAATAATATATAGTTTACATACATATTTTGTATGTATGCATATTTTTGTATTGCAATCAAAGATGAGTTTTACTAGTGTGATTCTGAGATGTGTTCATTTAACTGATGAATAAAAGAATCAAAACAAATGAATATCAATAGACCAGATATTGCTGTCTTAAAGCAGCATGATAAAATGTCAAATTGAATGATGTGCTCTCATGAAATGTAATTAACTAAAAAATGATTGCTAAGAAATGAAAACATCTTTATTTTTGGACATCTTATTAAAACAGTCTTGTATCTCTCTGTAATCTCTGTTGTAAACTGAGCACGTACGATCACGTCTCACCACGACAGAAACTATGAGCGCTCCACTTACTGGACGTGTGAGGAATGCAGCTGAAAGCTCCAAAAAGTCGACCGTGTGCTTCAGATCTTTGGAATAGCTTTTTAATGGCTCGTTTAGGATAAAGAGTAGATTCAGTGAGATGCAACAGCGGCCACATTGCAACATCATTTACATTAGATGATTGGCCATTTAGAGAAAACCCCTAATGTAGATTTTCAATCCACATTTTTGTTAAATTGTTTAAAGCAGTTGTGCTTTCCCTTTTCTAATTGTTTTTTAATGTTCAGCTACTGTACGTAATTCTAGCCCATGTCTGCTGGCAAAGACACTCCTAGATAAATCCATGTGACTGCTGCAGAGCTTAATATCTATATGTCCTCATAATTTACGCTCCTTCTGCGGGCCTCATTTAGGATGAGATGTCCCCTCTATGTCACTATTGCCAGTGTGGGTTGCTTGGTTATTGTCAACACGAGATGGAGGTGAGGAAGGTTAGTGGATGTTGGGAGCACGGAGTCTCTGGGCTCCAAATGGAATATTTCTCAACGAGCAACGGCATAGCTAAAAATAGCTGACAGAGCACCACGGGCAATTACATATACCAAAAAGAAAAGAAACACTGGTCTCTGATGTCAAGAACTCATTTCAACAGTGAATGTGGCCTTGTGGCTCCAGTGAAAGTTTTTATAACTCATAATGTGGAATACATCCCCCCCCCCCCCCCCTCACTCATCTTTCCCTCTCATGTCTGGTTGGGTCAGGTTTAACATGACAAGGCGAAACCTTCAATAATGATTGACAGTTCAAAGGCAGCAAGTATCATAAGCAGTCTTGTCATGTCTCTTCATGCGCATCAGCTCAAAGTGGTGGCCAAAATGTGGTTGTCACTTTGTTGATGCCAGAGTTCATTACCACTGTCACATTTCCAGTTCAGAATCTTCACTACAGTATCTTCTTGCTATGTGTAGAAACACATTCTCAATGCAAATGCTGTGAGAATTGCAGATATTTAAGAACTCTAAGTCTATTTTTTTATGTAATTCTATGTCGTCAGCCACGTTGTTAGATGCGTCTTGAACCAGCATTCATTCGTTTTTTTGGGCCACTTGAGGGCAGCAAAACCAGCTGTAAACACCACCCTGATAAAATATCACGCTATGGCGTTGATATGGCAAACACGTTAGCAATCACTTATATGGAGCAACATTAGCATTCATTTGGAGTTGTGTTTCTGGCCACCAGATGAACCACAAGTCCAGTATTCACCCTCCTTTAAGCTCTGTTTTGGTCTCCACCCTCTCCTGAGAAAAATGCCTGTCTCTTCAGCTGCTGAATGCTCCACATTGTTAAAGGAGCAGTTGGAGGAGACACATTTCCCTTAAGCAATAAATTATTATCAGCCGAAGGTGGGTATCCACAATTCTTTGCCTGAAAATGCACATGCCAATGCGATTTTAAAATGTGACGATAGCTTGTCAGCCACACTGCAGTTCAGGGTAGATAATATTAAATGTTGACTTGTGGACTTGAAAGTGTGGGACTCTGTGTATTTGTATTTTAGCAAAAATATGATGTATATTATAGAATGTCAAAATGAAAGCATGGCCTGATAATTAATTCTAAATGAATTCCAATCGAATGAGCTAATATCTACTTTAAGTCTTGACTTTGTACAAACACCTGCGGCACTAATTACAGCTTTCATTTTCTTTGACACATCTGTCATTTTCACATTTTATCCCATTCCTCCTGCATGTTTGCTCAAAGTCGAGCTGGACAGATGGCTGTTCCGCCTCCGTGATAAAACCGTCGGTCAGTACTGCGATATCAGCTGCAACCGGCGCAATAGCAGCACAGACAGAGGAACCATGACTTCATAGATTTCTGCAGGTGTAAGTCCTACAACCCCAAAATCCGGTTCCCTCGTCTTGAAGTCTGTTTTTTTTTTGGTTAGATGTCTGAAATAAGGTCTGTTGTTAACACAAGCTTTTAAGAGATTTTTAACGTCAGCAGATATCCCACGTGGCAATTTTGAAGATTTTACGTATCTTAAAAAAGGTGGTTGCTAACAACCTTTGACGATTGCATTTACCCTTCAAAAATCATAAAAGTGGTGTTCATTTCTGAAGATGATCTTGCTGAACAAAAGATGTAAGCATCATAAATGTTTGTCTGCTACAGAGTTTATTTTCTGCAATAATCCTAAATCCCATTGGCCTTTGTGGAGGGAACCAGTCTGATGCTCATTTTCTGATTGGCCTACAAGAACACATCATCCCTGCAGCACTCTATTCTCTGCTCAGGAAGACATTACCAAACATCTTTACATGGAAAATGCGGTATTAATACTCTGAATCTCTTTAATGATATAAGGTTATACTAGGTCACCATGAACTTATTATGGAGATATTCTGCCCTCTAGTGGTCAACATCTATAAATGGAGCTTTAAAAGAGACGCCTTTGATTATTGCTCAAGGCCTGGAGCAAGAAAGGACATCTATTTCCTGTAAAAACATGTGTTTCCAAAGCATCAACTTTCCTGAGCTAATAAAAATAGATAATCCATTAGTTATGGTTTATTAAGGAGCTATACAGTAGAAGACATATCTCAACTCATAAAGGAACACTTAATCCTTCATGGTTTTAATTTATTGAAAAAATTCAACATGAAAAGCAATTGCAAGTAAATAACAAGCCAATCAGTTCTTTCAAGTGTACATTTAGAAATCTACACTCATCTTTGGTAATATCAGAAAAATATTTATCAAATAAGTATAGTATCAGATTTCACAAAACGCAAAAGACAACAGCTTTTAAAGAGAACAAACAAGCCATGTAATAATATCAGCCTCAATCTGTCTGCCTACAACCTGATGTAATGCAGAAGATGAAGAGCAGATATGGTAACATGGAAACTCCTCGGGAAAGGCTTAGGTAATGGGAAAGCAACCTTGGCCATGAAATGGGCTGTGACGATCCTGTCAGCCTCATTGCTCCTGGCAAATCTATGTAGCCTGACATAAACATCTCACGGAGGGGACATCTGTTATCTGTCTTCCAAGCAGTTGGGAAATTGTCATGTCCGGCATGACAGCTGGTGTATGATGAAGCACCAGCGAACACATTTGGCTCGGTGCACCTGCAGATGTGTTTTTTCAAGACGTATTTTTGGGAAAACAAATTGTAACTTCCAGCTATAAGTGAGATTCCCTTCTGTTCTTTCCTTGAAACCTCTCAGCAAGCCGACAGATGGATTTTTTTTCCCTTCATCACTCTTCCCTGTTTTCCTCATTAGCATGTCTTTATTTCCCTCAAATGCCCTTTCCATCTCCTTTGCCAACAAGTATTTTCCCCCTGTTACTATTCAGCGCGCAGCACTCATTCGCGTCTCA